TATGTATGTATGTATGTATGTATGTATGTATGTATGTATGTATGTATGTATGTATGTATGTATGTATGTATGTATGTATGTATGTATGTATAGAGAGAGAGAGAGAAAGAGAGAGGGTGAGAGCAGAATCATACAAGAACGATACCTATTTAAAAGAAAGTCACATGTGATTTTACATTAATTGTAAAAAAAGTGTCCGGGCGACTTGTGCCTGCGTCTTCAGGTGGCCGAGCAAGATTGACTGAATCAAATGTGATTTTGTATGTGATGTTAGTGTAAAGTCACATATGATTCATCCATTTTCATGTTCATTTTAATAGATACCGTTCACGTATAATCTTCTCCTATCTATATATATACTAATTAACAATATAAAATTTAAAATATAATTTTGAACAAGAAAGCAGAAGTCAACGATGTCCAAGTAGTTGTAGTTGTATAGTTGTAGTTGACCTAACATTAACACTCCTTCAATATACCCCCTTCTATATTTCTATATTTCTATATTTCTATATTTCATACTTAAGGAAAGTATAAATTTCCTACCCAAATATTCATACAATATTTCTTTTCCGATGGGAGATCACGCTATAAACAAAATACATCCCGCAGTACCCGTGGGCAGGAGCGTCAAAAGCAATCTCGTACCACCGTCTCACACGTCATCAAGTCTCAGCCATCACCTCCGGCCATTGCCACCGCCTCCACCTCCGCCACCGCCACCGCCACCACCACCACCACCACCACCATCGGTGACAAAAACCGAAAGAAGTTTTTCATGTTGCAAATGCATATGTTGGTCTCTGTGCATCTTCATCACTTTGCTCCTAATTCTTTCAGCCACCATTGGCATCATGTACCTTGTATTCAAACCCAAAATACCCAATTATTCTGTTAACCGTCTCACAATCTCCCAACTATCCCTCAATCTCGACCTATCCCTTTATGCAAGATTCAACGTCCAGATCACCGCCACTAACCCAAACGAGAAAATCGGCATTTTCTACCAAAAAGGGAGTCGTTTAAGCGTATGGTACAAGAACACGAACCTGTGCCAAGGTTCACTCCCGATCTTCTACCAAGGCCACCGCAACAAAACCATTCTCAATGTGGCATTGTCAGGTCAAAACCAGTATGGGCGGACGTTAATAGCGGCATTACAAGAACAACAACAAACAGGCCGAATTCCGTTAGACCTCAAGGTGGATGTTCCTGTGAAGATTCACCTTGGAAAGTTGAAGTTGAAGAAGGTGAGAATTAAAGGGAAATGCATGTTGATCGTTGATAATTTATCTGCAAATAACAAGATCGGCATCAAAGCAACCAGTTGCAAGTTTAAGTTAGGATTATGAGATTATATCATGCATAAATACATTTATTTACATATATATATATATATATATGTGTGTGTGTGTGTGTGTGTGTGTTTTCTTAATTAACGGTCGAGAAAACCTCTTATTAGTGCTTCTGAGGAGAATTAAACCGATGACAAATTTAGAGCAAATCTATATTGTTGTTGTCGATTGTCGTCTTGGCAACATATATTTGGCTTCTATTTTTATTTTTAATGAGATAAATATTTGTTTTTATGAAGATTTTATATACATATATAGATACAAGTTTTGTATTCGCTGCAATGCAGCTACATATAAAATATTCTTGTAAATAAAATTAATCTATACTATATTATAAAGCATTTGACAAAAACTCTTAAAAACTATTTTTTATACATGAAGTACTGTACATTGATGCATATTACTTAAAATTTCAAATTACAAGTTAATTATGCACAAGTACAACATATTAAAGCTCCATGTTTGAATTCGTGTAACTAACTACGGGTAAACATAATCAAATAGAGGATAAACATCTCATTTTAAAATATAAAAAATCTAAAATATAATTAGGATAATTATCGAGTTCTAACAAAATAATTAATTATTATCTTTATAAGAAAATTATATTATTAAACCAAATATCTATCTATACTATATTACTAGTTGTGTACCCGTGCAATGCGGCGGGAGCCGTGAATTTGAACGATTTTAAAGTTTCACTGGTTTTATAAGAAAAGATTTAACGATGATATGAGTTACACTTGGTCTTTACATATTAATACAATTTGAGTAAATAAGAGTTATGGTTCCAATTACAGTCTATCGATGAAAAAAATTGTATGACAGTTTAAAATCCAATATATTTAAAATCCAACATATTTCTTATAAACAAATTATCGATGAAAAAAATTGTATCTACATTCTCATTTGTGGAACCTATTTGTTTTGTCTTGTCACTTCCTAATCATTTAAACAAACAAATTTCAGAATCATCTCAATAACAATCCAAATATTTCGTATAAAGTTTTTGTGATGGTTTTCACTTTAAAAATATGCAAAACTTGATTTCAATTTCAAGGAAAAAGCATGAAAGTAAGCAACGTATGCAACTATATCATTGTAATTAGTCTGCAATGCATATACCCAGACAAAAAGAAGCACCTAGAAGTCAATTATCGTACTTGTGCACAATCAAGTTTTGAGTATGATGATAAATCCTCCAACGAGAACTTCATGTTGAATTATGGCATGTCATACATAGTTATGTCTTAACTTGAGTTTTAGTAGCAATTAGTTATGGACGACACTACATTATTTACACTTTACGTTTATACACATTAATCAACTAATTAACATAAAGCTTTCAGGTACTCTTTATTTTTGTTTTAATCTTGTCCCGTGATGCACGCATCCTATTTAAAGGGATTCATAGAGGCTAGAGCAATGAATATCTTAGGGGCCATTTACCAAACGTTTACCCGATAAGTGCTTATCGGTAAAATTTAACAATATTATTTACTTATCGGGAAAGATTTTAATCCACCAAAACGGCATCGCATGCAACAATTTACCCGGTAAGCGCTTACCGTGGTAAGAGTCGCCGCCCTCACTTACCGGGTATGACTCTTGGTCCTCGTCTTGCTCTTACCGGGTAAGATTCTTGGTCTTTTACATATTCATCCGGTGAGGTAATGTTATTTGGCAAGAGCTCACCCAGGTAAGCGTTTAGTAAATGGCCCCTTAGTTAAACCCAAGTTTTTACAGTAGACAAATCTTCCAGCATCAACTTCATGAAACTATAAATGCAAAGAAAGATAAAGTACAATTTGCCAATACCCACAAACTTCCTAATGATGAAAATGCTTCCTAAATACAGAGAATAAAAAAGAAGCATTTTGCATCATGTTGCATAATCTTTGATGTTATTGAAGAGCTACAAGTCATAGTTTACTACTCTGGTTATTTATTTGAATATGAAGTTGTACAAAGAAAGCTTTAAACTGTCTTGACAGGCAAAGAACAAAACAAACTTCCATAAACAAAAAGCAACATGATCCATTTAAAATGCAAAACCACTCCTGCTAAATTGCTAATTGCATACAAAAAGATTGAAAAAAGAGATTATAATGATTCCTGCTAGCTAATGGCATACAGTACAGAAGTGACARATAAAGAAGATGAGAAAATAATTATACATTTACTATGATATTAATGTAACAAATCTGAATTGTGTGCAAACAACAACTATAACTTTTGGGGTGGTGGTATCAGATGAAACCAAATACAACTCACATAAGAGGATGGACAACCCAAAAGATGTCCATAATTAAGTAAAAGACATGATTTCTAATACCTAATTGAAAACCTTAGATCTCTGAACACACCTAGAGGCTCCTTGAGGCAGGGGCACTGTTGCTGAGATTGTCCAATCTGTTGTTGATGCTGCTGCAGTGGTGGCAGAAGCACAAATTGAAATGCAGAACCCGTTGTGGCAGATCTGTTGAGTTGATTAACACCATTCATTATCTGTGTTACTGGTAGAGTCTATATTTAAAGAGAACAACTATTAATTTATATAGATGGCTTACATCGTCAGATATCGATCAAGATATGAAGATGAGAACAACCCTTTGTTTTCTTCTACTCTTTGTAAAAGGTAAGGCATGATCTCGTCAACAGGTCTGAATGACAAGTACTTTCTCAAGCCAAACCTTGTGTTTCTCAGTCCGTAACTCATAGCATCCACCATTCCATAAAGTGATGCAAACTCCAGTTTATAAAATCTGGTTTATAAGATAGTATAGATAAATGAAAGGGTATGTGGGAAATTGAGTACCGGAGAATATGAAAATCTTCAATGAAAGGGTATGTGGGAAACCTAGACCAGTCAATGGATCACCTTGAATTGAGTCTTGAGTCTTCCAACAATGAACTTTCAACTGCAATACATAAAATCAGTAACCAACAATGAACTTCCAATTCAAACGAAGGAACTATTTGCAATAAAGGAAAAATACATTTAAATAAGAGATTTACATTGGCTTACATTTAAATCCAACTCAACTCAGGTTTTCCTCTTCTTACTACCTCGACTTGAACCTTCTTCACTTCATATATCTGTAGCATTATGTACATTATTGCTACTTTCCATGTCCTCCGATTGTTGTTCTTCTAGATTCACTTGCTCCTCCATCTCAACCACATCCCTAACTCTACTTCCTTGAGCTTTATCGTTTCCAAAAACAATAGACAGGTCTTCAAAATGTGGAAATATTTTGTTTTTCCATTTTGCCGCCGCTTTATGTACCTATTTCATGCCATAAAATTTAATTAACAAAGATATCAAATAAAAACTACAAATATAGCATGAAATATATAATGGATACCTTCAGGTAAGACTCCCAAATTGGTGCTTCGACAATTACACATTGTTTCAAACAATCATAATCAAACCAACTCATATTTGTCCCATTCACCATGTATATGTGGCTGCTTCACTTTATGCTACTGAAGTTGTATCCCGAAGCTTATCAGAGAAGGGAAAGTCAGGTGATGGGTATATTACTCGAAAGTAATGCCTTTGCTTTTATGGCCTGGTTAACTTATGCATTGGATTAATTCTGATCACTATTAATAGGTATCTAGTTCCCCAATTAATATAAATGGCTAGCAACAACCAAATACAATCCCAAACTTTATTACTCCTTTGAACCAAATGATTGTAAAACCAACAGATGCATAGGACTGTTGGAACATGAGCATAATAGTAGCCAACATAAAGAAATCGTCCTTATCCCTCCAAATCCAAGAACCAAAAGAATTGACGGCAAACAAACGGCCAGAAGGCTGCTGAAATTTTTCCAAATGACAAAACCAAGCCTGATGATGAACAATATAGCTACTGTCACAATCATAATACCGAAGACAGTAACAAATTTGATAAACCACCCTATGGCTCCAACTACAAAACAAGATATGATGGACCATCTTTAATACAGTAGCAGAAGTAGGAACTGATCATAACATAATTAACTTCAACTAAAGTGGCTACGAGCAACAAAAAACAGACCCAAATCCACCATGCCAACCTTGTTACTCCTTTGAACCAAGTGATAAAACCGACCCTATTGATTTGCATATGGAGAACGAAAAACCTAAGTAGAGGGAAAAGAAGCTCTGAATCATACCCAAAGTAGTTTTGGCACAAGAGAGATATGAAATAAGGAAGAAGAGGACTGAGGACAGAAAAGGAAAACTGTAAGCACCAATTTTTGGTGGTGGCCTGATTTAAAACACTTGCTTGAATGACTTGTACCTAATTTTACAAAAGCATCTTCTTGTTTCAAAAACTAATCAAGAACCCAAAACCACTATAATGTTTGGTCAGTGATGCACTGATCTGCTACCAACTTTGATCTACTTAAACCAAATTATGATGACTTCTTTGATCAAAAAAATTCCCTCATTAGTAAATTACAGTTTTACATAATATCATATCATTAATAAAACTACTACAATAACCATAAAAGACCCAAAAAAATCTAGACAACAGGCATAAAGAACATAAAAACTATTGCAACCCTTCACTGTAATATATTGATAAACATTTTGCAAAAAGTAGAGCATAAAATTGGAGAAGGGCATATGGGTAAAAAATTGAGCTGAATACTTACCCGGTAAGCATTTACACATATCTATTGAAGCTTAGGGGCCGTTTACCCGAATACTTACCCGGTAAGCACTTACCGGTAGGAGTCAACACTATAATCTATTTTACCAGATAAGATTTTGTAGTATATTAAAACAGTATTGTATGCAACAATTTACCCGGTAAACGCTTACTTGGGTAAGAGTCCTCAACATCATTAATCAGGTAAGACTCTTTATCCCTATCATGCTCTTACCGGGTAAGATTTTCAGCCCTTGCCATGTGCATCAGGTGAGGAAAGTTACCCGATCCACACTTACCGGGTAAATATTTATAAACGTCCCCTTAGTGAATTCCAGTTGCTGAAACCCAAAGGAAAACATATCGTTGTAGAAAAAAGACTCGTTCCAATTGAGTTTAATCAATCCTATTCCAGATCTTCACATATTTTGCATGCAACCTAATTCGTATGCATGTTGGGGGTCTTTGAGTGTCGCCTTGGTTTTGCACTGCTGCCAAGGCTGGCGCACCCCTCCAATTCTAGTTAAAAGTCATTCTATGGTTCAGCTTCCAACTGTGTTTAACTTGGTTGTTAACAGCTATAAAAACTTCTTATTCCTGTCTGAACCAAACAACCCTCAGTCAAGTAAAAATAACAGTAACACATAATAGTTGTAAACTTACCATAATTTTGTTTCAGCACAGTCTTTTTAGGCAATTTGCACAGTCTTGTATGTTCTGAATGAGTGAACATATGATGATTAATGACATCCACAAAAAGGGTGACAACATTTTAGTATAAAGAGTTAACCGACATAGTTGTTTGATGCTTGGAGATTTGATGAACATAGTCAAGAAAAACATTTCATAGGCATATTACATAACTTTTAGTTTCAGAGGTTGGCTTATTAGCATATGTTTTGATGTACTAATCTAATAACATGTTGGTGCCAGTGGACCTAACACAGAGAATGCACCACCATCTTGTACTTCCTGTCATTTGGCATTGTTATATAGGCTTGATTGGATCATTGTGATTTAAGCTATACTTATATGTAGCCAAATCAAAGCAAAAACTCTGTTTTGAACCCAAAGATTGCTAACGTTGGGACTCAGCTCCCACTATTGTTCCTACCCAATGATGATGCTCCCATGGCTAAGAAGTTTTACGATTGTAGTAATAGTTATTATGATAAACTACATTCATATGTAGCTGATGATCTGACTGTTGGTTGTCCTTCTTGTCATAAGCTGTTAAACAGAAGGTTGTCTTATGTGGCTGGTTCTAGTGCAGAAAAGTTGACAGCAGAGGACGGTGGTTTCGTGAAGGGGGTGGTGACTTATATGATTATGGATGATTTGGAGGTAAAGCCCATGTCCACCATATCCAGCATCACAGTGCTCAACAACTTCAATGTGAAAGAAATTGGTGGTCTCGAGGAAAAGTTGGTTCCTTTTGGTGTGGAAGAGGTATGCTTTGTTTGTATTGTATATTAATTTGTATTGTATTACTAAAAAATGCAGTCTAGATTCAGCCATAATCCATTAATGAACTGTGTAATGTGTTTGTTGATTGATGTTTATAGGGTTTGATGTTGCTGAAGGCGTCATTTGAATGCAAGAATGTGCTTACCACTGTGTTTATGGCTTAATGAAGATGAATGGATTTTAGGTTTGTTACAAAAGTAAGCATGTTGGGGGGGGGGGGTTTGAACCTTTTGAACTTGGACTATCTATATATCTTCAAAGGAAAAAGGGTGAGAGGATGCAAGTTATTTTGAAATTGCATTACCTGAATAATTGCTTCCTTCAACTGTGAGTGTAAGCAGGATCTGGAGTCTTTGACACTTTTAGGAGGCATATACGCAAAGAAAGTGCAATATTTGGTAATGTGTCATGTCATGAGCCAGAATCTTAGATCTAATCTAAGAGTACACAATCTATACATGTCCTGATAAACTTATTATCATCACTTCCGAGACTCTTAAGAGAACAAAAAATTTGTAGATAGTCTAGAAGTAAGCCTTCCATTATTCCTTATGGATGATACAACAATAATGTTTACCTGGTCATTAAAAAATGTTTTATGCTCTGTAGGCTACAACAAGTGGTTCTAGGAAGAGGTCATTTTTTCATATCACTCTTGGGGGGGGGGGGAGGGTGCATGGTGGTCCTTAATTACATAAACAAAGTACATACATTACAACAGACACAAGGGTGCTGTGTGCATTATAGCAAGCACAGGGGTGTTCATATTAGAGGCACAGGGTTGCTGTGTGCATTACAGGGTTGTTCATATTAGAGGCACGATTTTATAGTTTTTGAAAAAAGAAAGATAGAGAAATATTCTTGTCAAATAAATCATTCTTGTCTTACCCCCGGGTAATGTATCAAGACGGGCGAGTAATGATCAAAAGCTATATATATCTTCTCAAGAAGGCCTAAAAGTGTTTTGACTTCATCACCCAAAAGATCAACCTGGATCCAAAGAAAATATCAAAGAAAATTAGTCTAACATGTTATGTGCATAACTACAATACGATAAAGCACTGGACCTAAAACATGCCAGAACAAAGAACATATGTAACAGATTCATAACATAAACCATAGCAAAATAATTGTACATGTTTACAGATGGTTTCATAATTTGGTTCATACTTTAGAAAATGAGGTGTTGGCACTAAGTTATGGCATCTCTATGCAAGAGCATCTATAAGCACTACTTGAATAGTCAATCATGCTATTACTGGAGGGCCGAAAACAACAATCAACAACCATTGTACCATCTTCCAAACTGCGTTTACATATACATACTGATACACAAAGTTAGGTAAAGGAAAAAGAGAAATAGATTACATCCTCTAGATTCTGGATTAACACTAATAGATTGAAGAACATGTCAAATATATATGCATCTCTAATCAGTATCATCTCAGAATATTTAGGGATCAAATCGAATCGTTTAGGGTTTATTTCATCGAATTCAGTTAGAGCGATGAAATCGAATTGGTGAGGGCTATGAAATCGTTTATATGAAATCGAATTAGGTTGGATGGCGATAAACAGGGGATTGGGTTTAGGGATATGCAATAGATGAAATCGAATTGGGTTAGTTGAGTTGGATAGCGATAAACAGGGGATTGGGTTTTTAAGAATTTTCAAGAGTTTAAGAGTTTTCAAGAGTGTAAGAGTTTTTAAGAGTTTTAGCAAAATGCATTATAAATTGGGGTTTGTCGGGACCAATGCTACGAGCTTCCGGAATACAATGGGATCTTCGTAAAGTTGATCATTATGAGTGTTAAGATAGTATAGATAAAACATTTGACAAAAACTCTTAAAAACTATTTTTTTATGCATGAAGTACTGTACATTGATGCATATTACTTAAAATTTCAGATTACAAGTAAATTATGCACAAGTACAACTTATTAAACTTCATGTTTCAATTTGTGTAACTAACTGCGGATAAACATAATCAAATAGAGGACAAACCTCTTATTTTAAAATATACAAAATCTAAAATATAATTAGGATAATTATCGAGTTCTAACAAAATAATTAATTATTATCTTTATAAAAAAATTATATTATTAAACCAAATATAAATTACTTCGTTATTGAACCTAAATTAATTTATAATAAAAAAATTGAATTAAAAATTACACAAAAAATAAGGAATTTTAAATAGTTAATTTGATAGTAATATCGATAAATTTTTGTCAAATTTTTATGATATCTTCAAATTTATATTTTATTAAAAATAAAACATCATCGTTTTTTCAAAATCACATAAGACCATATTATAACATCGACTAAGATAAAGAATAAAATAAAATATTAAAACCAAGATGTATCTCGCTGCATTGCGTGAGTATCCTTCTAGTTATTTATAAAATGTTCTACACTTTAAATTATGATGTTCTTTGCAAGTAAAATAATATTTTGATAACTAAACAAGAAATAGGAAGACTGAAGCCTATAAAACTCATCGATCAAATAGGTTTTTTTTTTTGAAGAAATAGTTCATATGTAAATCTCAAAAGAAATTGAGAACATTATTTTGACAACTTCAGTCTTCATCCCATATTTGAAAGATCAAGGATATTTTTTGTAAACATTAAAAATATCATATTATTATCTTTTCAAACAAGAAAAAACTATAAGACGAACTTATTGAAATATAATTATGTAAAAGGACATGATGTATTGAAAATTGAAATTACTCTGTGAGTTTAAGCAATTTATTGCATCTACAAAATCTTGGATTAGCCTCTTTAACATACACCATCTTGAAAACATAAAATAGTTGATGAGTGAATATTATAGATGGTGCGACTTTATAATATCAGAAAGGAAGGAAACGAAAGGGATGATGGGTGGGGGCTTTAGAAACTTGTAAACAATGCATACATGACAGTTAAAATTCAAGAATAATAATAAATAATATAATATAGATATATAAGGGTGTACAATGGAAAATAAAAAATTAAAATACAAAAAAAATCAGTACGTATTTATTATATTTAATAATATTTTTAAATTCAATAACATTCAATATTTAGTTCATTTTGAAGGTATTAAAGAGACGATTATAATGGTATATTTATAAAAATAATAAACGTTTTTAAATATATTTTGTTACTATATAGTTACATATGTTAATATGAGAATGTGTAAAATAAAAAATAGAAAAGAGACATAAAATAAATTAAATAACTAATTATAATGGTATATAGTGTACTTTAATAATAAAAAATAATTTTATTTTTAATTATCATGTTAAACGTGGAGGTTGGAAAAATTCAAAAACTATACATAATGGATAAAAATTTATACCTCTTAAAAATTCAATAATAACCGTTTAACATGTTATATAATATAATATAAATAGTATAGACAGATAAGGGTGTAAATTAAGAAATATAAAATAAGTTAAATATAAGTTTTAAAATAACTCACTACATATTT